CCCACGCCCGGCCGGCCGCCTGGCTGGCTGCACGGGCCGTTTGCTCTTGGAGACCCGCCCCTTTCCTGCATCCGTACATTTGTAGGGTCCTGCTCCCTTTGCCCCAAACCTAGCGCCTCCCCCTTCCCGCTCTCCGCCCCTTCCCTGCTCGCCCCCGCCCACCACATGCAAACCAGCACCTCCCTGAGAAGCCTCCTTCTGAGGACCGGCTGGGTGGGGGGTGGGGTGGGGGCCGTCCTGCAGCTGGGGGTTAGCTGGGGCTGCGGGCTCCCCGTGTGCCTCAGACACAGTGGGCCACTCCGGGCTGTGCCAGGCCACGGGGCTGCAGGCGAGTTTGCAGGAGGAGGGGCTCCCTGGTTGGGGGGCCCCTGGGTACTTGTCAGCCACCTGCACCGCTGCACAGCCCTTGGCTTCAGAAACACCCCAGGGTTGCTCGCTGAAGACCGGAATGTCCAGGGCACAGGGCACTGAGGCCGGGGTGCAGAGAGGAAAGAGCTTCTCTCGGTTTCCCAGAACAGTCCCTGACCAGCGAGGGGCGGGGACGGGGGCGCTGTTCTGCTGCAGCGGGCTGTGTCTGTCTCGTCCTCACCCTGACCCCCAGCTGGCCCCTCAGGGTCTGGTCACCGAACAGTGGTGTTCGTGGGCAGCAGCTGCTGCGTGGACTCACACAGGAAGCCCTTGGAAAACATCCCCCAAGTCAGACCCCCCAGACGTGTCCGTCAGGGCCCCCGAGGGCACAGCACCGTGGGAGGGTGCTGGGTGCTGGGTGGGGAGTTGTCCTATTTCCACATTCCTTGCCCTCCACCCTGAACCTGAGCTCAGCTGTCCAGGGCAGAGGCGCTCGTCCTCTCTGGAGTCCTGTCCCAGGGTCCCTGATGCATAGTGGGCCACCTGGGGGAGGTGCCAGGCCAGGGGGGTCTGAGGGAAAGGGCCAGGACAGACGCAAGCCCAGGGGCAGGAGGGCGGGCTGATGGGAAGGGGACAGCAGGAAGTGGCTGGCCTCAGAGCAGGTGGAGTGTTTATACCACAGGATCTGCAAATGCTACACACCACGTCTCCCCACAGCACACGGCGAGCACGGGCAGACGGACAGACGCGGCGGCGGCA